TAACATAACTCCAAGAATTCCTAAGGTGTCATCCTTGATAACTTCCCTTCTTCCCCTGCCCCGATCTAGATTACCAGAAAATCAATTCCATCGCTAAAATATGCCCAGTCTCTATTCCATCCAGAAAATCAATTCCATCGCTAAAATATACCCAGTCTAAATAAACTAGTCTCTATTTGCATCACCATCTTTTAGTTTCAGGCAGCCATCTTGTCTTCTGGGTTCCTGTAACATCTTCCTTCCTGACCGGCTTCTCCTCCTTCAGTCTTGGCCTCTTTCAGTCCATTCTCCATCCGGCAGCTACACTGATATTAATATGTATTTTAGAGACAGGATCTTGGTCTGTTGCATGATCACAACTCACTGTAGGCTTGAACTCCTGGGCTCAAGCAATCCTCCCGCCTCAGCCTCCTGAGTAGCATGGACTACCAGCTCATGCCACCGTGCCCAGGTAATTTTTTATTTTTTATTTCATAGAGATGAGTCTTGCTATGCTGCCCAAGCTGTTCTTGAGCTCCTGGGATTATGAGCATGAGCCACTGTGCCCAGCCAACTGATATCATTAAAGTGGAAATCAGATCACTTCATTGTTCTTCTTTAAACCCTTTCATTGCTTTCTATTGCCAGAATAAAACAGGGTCTCCTGGTGACCAGCAAGGCTCTGCTTATCTCAGCAACCCCACCTGCGCACACGGCCCCCTTTTCTCTCCACTATGGACCCATAGTCTTCTCTCGTTTCTGGGGAACGTGGGGACTTAGAGACCGGAGAGAGCCTGAGTGTGGCCCAAGGCCTTACCCATAACAGGCAGTATTGTACAATGAATGCTGAAGGGGAGAAAAAAGGAGGAAATAAAAGTACCATCTTATTTTACAGCCAAGCAATCTGTATTCCTCTTATGGGGGCTCCCGGTAGACATATTCTAATAGGTTTAGAACAATTAGAAATCTTACTTTGCAGGCTGGCAAAATACAAGTTGCATATTGAGAGGAAATGTACTAGATGGCCATACTCTTCCCACAACCCCCACCACCACCACCACCACCACCACCATGTACAGCTGGGTCCCTGCGCATCTTCAAGCACTCGTGATTTTCCTGCAGGCAGCACAGAGAACTTCCTCTCCTTGCAGTAAAAGGCCAAGACCCTGGAGAAATTCAAATGCGATTTTAAAGGATTCTTGGTCAGTACAGCTGTTTGCATTGGAAGGAAGTCATTTCTGAAGCATTCTTTTCAGAATTCCAATTAGAGATTTAAAACATAGCTGCACATAAATGGTACAGCTTCAAATCGAGGTGTAGAGCCATATTAAGGTTACTCAATAATGTTGGAACCATCAAATAAATGTTCCATAGTACTTCATTCATAACACATTTCCAGTTACGTCTGGGTTAGTTTGGGTTAATAGTCCCTTTAATTATTCTAATGAGACCGACTTGCTTGCCAAGCTATATTCTCCTTCCATTTAGCTTCTTCACATTACTGCATATTTTTTATGGGCTCCCTAAAATTGGCACTAAGGGAATCAGCTCTGTCCAGGAAAAAAGAGAGTTTATCTGTGCCTCTGAATTCATTTGTTTTATTATTATTATTTTATTTTTTGAGTCAGGGTCTCACTCCGTCACCTAGGCTGGAATGCCATGGCATGATCACAGCTCACAGCAGCCTCGAGCTCCTGGGCACAAACAATTCTTCTGTCTCAGCCTCCCAAGTAGCTAGGACTACAGGCCTGAGTGCCACCATGCCCGGCTAATTACTTTTTATTTTTTTGTAGCGATGAGATCTCACTATATTGCCCAGGCTAATCTCCTGGACTCAGGCAATCCTTCTACCTCAGTCTCCCAAAGTGCTGGGATTACATGCATGAGCCACCATGCTCGATGGAATTCATGTATTGATTCTACAAAGATTTAAGAGTACCAACTGTGTACCAGACACCGGGTGGGTTGAGCACTGAAGGCAGGAGCACAAACAAGGCACAATTTCCGCCTTGCAAGAGTTTTCGATCTGCGTTACCAGGTAATTAGCATACGGAGTGTAATCGGGAAAGGGATTAAAGGAGGGTAGCATATTCGAGAAAGGCATCTAAAAGTCCTGTGTGGAAGCTGAGATACAATGAAAAGTCAGAGGAAGCCAGGTAGAGGAGGAAACAGCCTAGGCAAAGACCTGGAGGTCGTGACCTGGTGACGTGACATTCCAGTTGCACCAGCCTCCACAGGTGGTTCATCTTAATCCGTGGGCCTCCATTCACCTGAGTCTGGGGAGTCCAGGTTCCTTCCCATCCCCTTTCATTCACCCAGGGAGCACCCTTTTGTCATTCTCAGGTTTACGTTTCAAATAGGAAATCTTCGAGGCCACTCCCCACAAAAAAAGTTAGGAAATTATTTTTTTTTATTTTGCCAAGGACAAATTCAAATAATAAGAATGCTGTGGAGTGAAATGCACAGCCGATGAGCATGTAATTGAAAAGAAATGTATTTTAATAACACTTTGAATGACTTTAATTCTGGGTATATGTGACCATGTAGGGCCAGAAAGGGTGACCTTAATGTTTTACTTGTACTTTACTACATTTTACTAGAACATAAGCTTCACAAGGGCAAGAACCTTTGTCTGTTTTGCTTCATTGATGTTCCCCAAGTGTCTAGAATAGTGCTGAGCACATAATAGACATTCAATAAATATTTGCTGACAGTTGTAATGAATTGTATGGGTTACGCTCTATGGAGGTTTCCCATATCCTGGGAAATCTTGACTATCGAGGATCCATGGTGATCCAAAGAAAGAAGGAATAGGGTTCCCTTTGGAGTCAGCAGCATTAGTTCTAACATTGCAAATAAACCAAGGTCAAGGCTGTCCAAAGGAGGAGTGTGGGACAGAGAGAACGTAAGGAGAACAAAGGATCTCAACAAAGTATTCTGTCCCACTGAATCCTGTGCAGCCATTTCGATCAATCATTCTTCATTCACATGACAGATTAAGAACACACTGCCAAGAGAAGCCCAAAGATTGGGGGACACATGCCCAATGTTGACAACATTTGCTCACGCTTCTGTGACAGTAAATAGGAATTGATAAAACTTGGTGGGGCACGTTGCTTCTTGCTTCAAGCTCACTATGGTTGTAAGGCAACAAGGCTCAGAACCGTCCAGCACTCCTTTGAATCCTAAGTGAACTCCCCTGGCTTCTGGGCAAATCTTTGTGTGTGTGAACCCTTCAACCTCCTGCCATGGCGAGGCTTTCTTCCATTCTCACCTCAAACCCCTAGGAAGCTTCTCTGGCACTTCAAAAGTTACTTGCTCAGACACTGCTTTGGTGGTTGGAATATAAATGTCCAAGAGTCCTGACATCTTCTATGGGGATCTTTAAAGAAGACTTCAAAGAAAGAGTTCTCCTGCTTTGAGAATTTCCCACCTAATAAGTGAAAATAATTGCCCCTTTCTATATGTCTCTGATCTCGTCCTGAGGGACCGGTTTATCAAGCAGGTCTGAGAGACTGCCAGGGAACATATTCACAGGCCTCAGCTGTGCCTGGAACCACAGGCAAGAGCTGGTGTGGCCAATGGCGTCACATTGAACAGCTTACGTGACAATATGTGGACATAATGGAAATCAGACTCTATTCTTTGGGGGTAGATGATAATTTTCCTTGTATGAGTACTGAGTCAGCTTTTTATATAGAAGGAAAGTACCTTTCATGAAATTAAAATCTGAAACTGTGTCTTGTTTCTGAGCATGGCATCTCCTTCTATTTTACAGAGCATTTTAATCCTACATTGTATTGTAGCATGGTGGATACGGTTGGAGTTTAAAAGGAAATGCTTTAGAAGTCAGCTAGCGCCCACCCCTTTGTTGAAAGATAAGAAAACACTGTGAAAGGATTTTAACTTTTTTCCCCTGTACCCACACATAGGAAAAGTATTGAGGAGAAAAATGAAGAAAATGTTCTGAGTTCGATCCTATCTTCCTTATCAGTGACCTGGGATGACAGCAAGTGCCCATAGAACTTTTGAGAAAATTAAGTGGAATGGCTCCTGGGAAAAACACAGCCCTGTTACCGGCACATAATCAGTGCTAAGTTATGCAGCCATAAAGAAGAACAAAATCATGAACTTTGCAGCAACCTGAATGGAATTAGAGTTTATAATACTGAGTGATCTTTCACAGAAACAAAGATCTGGGTATCACATGTTCTCACTCATAAGTGGACCTTGAACAACTACCGTAATACTGCGGAGGGGGGGAATGGAAGGGGGCTGGGAGGTGGGATTGACAGTAGTCGAGATCTACCTGGGGGGAAGGGGTGCACCTCATCAACAAGGGTACCTGCACAGTGAATATTTGTATACCTAACCCTGAATGTACCCCACAATTAAAAAAATTTATTTAGTTTAATTTTTTTAAAAAATCAGTGCTAAGTTAGTTAGCTTAGTTCGTAGCTAAGGAGGTAACCGCAGTTCTGGTCCACACAAGTGGCTCTCAGACACAGCTGAACCTCAGTATTATTTGTGATTTTTTTTTTTTTAAATGCTCAAGCCCAGGCGCAGTTGTGGGCATTCTGAGTTTATCAGTCTGATGTGAGGCCCAGATTAGGTGCAGCTGAAGAATTCACTGGGCCAAGGTTGAAAGTCACTGGCTTAGGAGGTCTAAAAACAAGGATGGAGATCATGTATCCATTTGACTGGATTAACACAGTAAAGAATGAAAAGGGAGACAGAGAGAGAGAGAGAAAGAGAAGGGGTGGGGGAGACGGAGAAGGATAAGAAAATTGTAAATAGTAAATAGTATAGTAGGTTTAAAAAGAAGTTTGAAAATGACATCTTCTGTCAATAGCAAGTGTACGGTTGCTACATAAATAGATAGATAATAATAGTTATAACCCCAATGTAAATGAAGCAATTGGTAAGCCATAGTAAGAGTATTGTTAAAACAACAGAGTTCTCATCTGTCCTTACGGGAGACTTGTTGACACAGCTAACAGACACAGAAAAACATACCCAGATTAACAAGGGGGCAGTCATTTAATGCAGAAATCCAGTTAACATAAAGAGACAGAGGCTGAACAACAGATAGATCTTTAAACAATACTGCATAGTGTCACAGATTAGCTCTTCAACACGGTTGATCTGTTTTTCTTATGAGTTCGATTCCGGTATAAAGACAGAAAAGAGACTTCAGTTAAAAAAAAAATAATAAGGCAACAGAAGAAGAATCTTCCTGTGACAAGGAACATCCACAGATAATGCACAAATATTTGGTGTTGACACAACAAGACATCATTGGACAAGTTCTGAAGATGCTGCATTAAAATTTAACAAGCATGGTCCAATGGCAAGAAAATTATACTCGCTTTGTTACGAATCCTTTTGTAAATAGAAATGACTCTCAGGTAATTGTTATATACAAACTTTCTGAAATAAATGGAAATCATACAAATTTTTCCATTGCAGGTTCCTCTTTTCTACACTTAGAAATGTCCCGTGGCACCTCTCCCTACTTCTCACAGTCAAAGCATAAATAGTCATTAAAGCACTTGAATCCACAGTAGTCTTTTCCTTAGAAAGGTTGGGAGGTTTTGCATGATTTTCTATCAGTCATCCAGAAAGGGCTGGCAGGCAACAGGTTGGAATGTAAAAGACCGCTTTGTGCTTGGAATCCGGACGTGCCCTCTGCACCGCTCCCGGTGGGAGTCGCCCGCGCTGTGGACAGGCCCAGTGCAGACAGTCATACCGTGGAGTCTCTGCCAGACTTTAGATGTGCAATCTTGGTCCGGCTAATAAACGGATAAGCGATGCAGAGACCGCCAGCTGCCACAATAAATCCTAAACTGCACCAGGCGCAAAAGATAGACCAACTGTAGCCATGTTCCACATCAGCAGGCAGGCTATAAATGAGCTTAGGGAGCCGGTTCAAATCGTAGGAGATACTGGCTGCGTAAGTGCAGAGGGAAATGGTGCAAAATATCCCTATAAATAATACAAAGAGAACAGTATGATTAGTTACAGTTTTGCCAGCTACAAGGCAAATGCCAGACAGACTGTGATGAAAATCAGATCAACCAGCGATGCAGTCACTCCACATTCATAAAGGATCTGTCATTCTTTTACTTGAATTAATTCATTCAACAAACACTGAGAAAACTGTTATGCACCAGACCCTATGCTAGGGATTGAAGATGTAGAAGTGAAAACCATAGATAGGAAAATTCCGATAATACGAATTATTCAGAAATATCTAGTTTGGATGGTTATGTATATTTAATTTTGTTTTACTCTTAAATTTTTTAATTAAAATGCTAACTATTTTTAAGGAAAAAAACTTCTATAGTCACTGAAGCCTAATACAAAATAGTTTTAATTTTCCTTTTTCTATACCTGATTTGACATAGTTCATACTGTTGCAAAATTATACAAAGTCTGCTTTTTTAAAATTAACATTCTTGTATTTCTCATGTTGCCTGTAAATAATAGTTTAAATGAATTCATGCACGTGGTGAAGTCTTTTTTGGGGGGGGGCATAGAGTCTGGCCTCAACAAATGGTAATTTTGTTTGTTTGTTTTGTTTTGTTTTGTTTTAGTGAATGAATGCATTTAAACAACATAAATTAAGTCCAGCAATTTGAAATTCATGTAAAAAAGCTGAGTAAGGAGATCATATACTTCATTTTAAAAGAAGGCAATTGGGTTAACATAAGAAAAATGGACAGACCCCAAATTTTACTTTTTTATGCCAGAATTTGTATGTATAATTTTCCTTCCAGAACACTCACATAGGGATGCTGATAAAAATGCTTCATAAGCCAAAATGCAGGATTTTTAGTATTCAAGTCAAAGTTGTAGACGTTTCTACCACAATGGACCCCCGAAAATGCTCCTTTTGTATGGGTGTAGGGTCAGAATTAGGCCATAACTGAGTTGAAGGCAGGTAATAAACTCAGAAACTGGCAGCCAATCAAACATCAGAAGGTCCAGTTCTGTTTCGAGTCCTACTCATCTCTTCTTCACTGCCTGGTTTATCTCTGTGTACAATGGAGGTAGTATCTATTTCCTGAAAAATTGCTTTAATATCCTTAGGGATACATGCAGTATCTCCATTGGAAACAGAGACACAGATTTTGAAGCTGAAAAGAGAGAGCTAAAAGTAGCAGATTCCTTCCCCTTCCCATTTTAACCTATAGCTTTATAGATCAGACATGCTAGCAGAAAATTAAATTCATAGCAGACAGCAATTTGGAAGAAATAAAGATCACCTTAATGCCATCTTTAACGTGTTAAAATTCTGCCTCTATTTAAATCCTGAAAGGGCACATGTGCATTTAGAAAATAAACGTTCTAAATCAAAAGGACACTTGATCTGAGATAATTTGATATTTTCTACTCTTTGGTGTAATTCTGTTTTGAAACTCTACAGTGATCCTGTTTTCCTAAAAACGGATAAAATCGTATCTTCTGACTTCTTGCTCCAATTTATTACAGCAAACATATCACTTTCAGTTCTCCAAAAGAAGACTCAAGATAGAAATAATTCTTTCATAAGAGAATGGACCGTTCAAAAAAAGCATACTCTGCTGCTTTTTCCAAACCTTGTGAAAAGCAAATGTTCTTACATCTACAGGAATGTTTTCACTGGCAGCAAAGCAAAGACAATGTTTATATATAACAAGGCCTTTTAATGAATGCTGGTAATAGAACAACAAGGCAGTTAGAAACAAAATTAATCTTTGGAGTATCAATAAGTAAAATGTAATAATAGAACAATGACCTGTACAGGAAAAACAACTCTTGAAACTTAATGTCTGGACACTGCAGAATGCCTAAAAGCAAGGCTTTCTACAAGTAATGTCATTTTAATGACCTCTGAGAGCCTGAGTTCAAACTCAGACTTTTAAGCATCCTTTGATGTCTAAATGCATTGGGTTGGAATGCAAGAAATATGTGGTATTCTAGTTTCTGGCTCTACACGTCACCGTGTAACCTTGAAAATTACCTAACTTCTTAGAGTCTTAGTTTCTTCATCTAGAAAAAAAAAAATGGGAGACTTGGTTACCGAATTCCCTCCAGGTATAAAATTTCTGTGATTCTGTTATTCTAAAATAAAACATGAAACAAGAACACTTCCTAAAACTTCCTAGTGAATCTAACACTCCATATTATGCAATTAAATACAAAGGGAATACCCTATGTACTTACCTTTCTGTGTATTCTCCCTTTGATTTTCTACTAAACATTAATTTTATTAGCTCCTCTCCCTTGCCAATCCCATAAAATTGCTTTTGATAAAATGAATTTTCCCTTACACCACTAGTTCATACTGAATAGGATTATAAGCAACAATCTAATCTGAGGATTCAACCAGGATGAAGATTTCTCTTTGCCCTCAATGCCATGGGTAGTTGTAGGCAATTTCCCCAGGGCAATTGATTTGTGCTAACCTCACAGACACTGGAATGATGTCACTATTAAAATATCTTTCTCAGTCGGAATTGCCAAAGAGCCAAAGCTCCCTCAAGCTAAATCTGCAGCCCGCCATGAACAAAAGTGTGGGAACTCATGGCATGCTTTTTGCTTCTTGTCTCACTCTCGGATCCATCTTGCCTTGAAAGCTGGAGGCCCCTTTGTCTTATTTTTATCACTTCTTTGTACTTTTTTAAATGAAAACTTGATTTATTTCCTGTTGCCTTGATTCACTCAGCTGAGGGTAGTAGAGAGCAGGTTTGTCAACCCACAAATAGCCCCCTTCTCCATCCTTCCCCCTTCCCACAAATGACCCCACAGGCTGCCTGTGTAACATCTTTTCTCTTCCCAAGGTGCTCTTGGAGTTGTTCATAATAAGAAGAAAGCAGAGAAGGAAACATTAATGAGAACGTATGGGGGTGGGGGAGAATGGGATTGGCGGTAGTGAGAAACTGCCATGGGAGGTGGGGCACACCTCATCAACAAGGGTACCTGCATAATTAACATTTGTATACCTAATCCTGAACTGTACCCCACATCTTTAAAATAAAAATAAATAAAAAGAAAAGAAAACCTGCTGAACGAAACTAAGTCCTGTCACACATTAAGTGCCACCAACTTAAGAGCCAAATCATCCCAAGTTACCCCACATAGGACTTACCTAGGTAGCAAGTCATTTCAGATAATGCTGTATTTTCATTAGCAGCAATCTAATTAATGTCAGGTCTATGAAAAGAGTATAAAAAGACCAATAAGGCCGGGTGTGGTCATGCCTATAATCTCAGCACTTTGGGAGGCCGAGGCAAGAGGATTGCTTAAGCCCAGAAGTTCGAGACCAGTCTGGGCAACACATCAAGACCTTGTCTCTACAAGAAAAAAAAAAAATCACGAAATTAGCCAGGCATGGTGGCACATGCCTGTAGTCCTAGCTACTTGGGAGACTGAAGCAGAAGGACTGCTCTAGCTCAGAAGGTCAGGCTGTGGTGAGTCATGATCATGCCGCTGCACTCCAGCCTGGGTGACAGAGTGAGACTCTGACTCAAGGAAGAAGAAAAAAAAAGATTAATAAGGCACCAGCCCTGTATTCAAAAAGTTCAAGACCTAATGGTCCTTGCTAAAGACCCATGGGGAAAAGGCCGCCTGTCCTCCTTTTTACTCTGTGACCTTTCTTTCCCCTTCCCTTCCACGTCTCCCCTGATGAGCCGATGCTCTTCAACCAGCTCATGGCCCCAGGAAAGACAGAGGCTCCCAAGTCTCTCAGACTATTGCTGGTAGCATCTTCGAAAAAGTGAATAAATTACTGGTTTCCTGACAAGCCCTGAATGCAACTACTTCTCTTATAAAATATTAAAAGGTTTTCTGCCAATATCCTTAATTAGAAGATACCACGATGTCACAGAACTACAGGGCTGGAAGGGATATTTTCAGATCAGGACAGAAGTAAATGTATGCTACCAGAGCACATCATCAACCTAATTTCCTACCCTAAAATCTTCATGGTGCCTGTGGCCGGCTGGTAAGATGCAATTAGGGTAATGGGGATCATTTTTCTGACCACCCTGTTTTGATGTGCTTCAAAGGCTGAAAGAAGTGGAAGTCGCTTCACTCTGGTTAGCCTGTTTGATAAATAACTTTGCAACACCCAAAGGCATAAACATTGATTTTTTTCCTTCCCATCCTTCAAAAGATGGCTCTGGTCTCTTTGCTCTTCCATCAAATGCCTCATGCTACTTTTCACAGAGATGACTAAAAAAGCCATTCCTATGTTGTCTTAACCAAATGATTGGCAGAACTAATGGAGACAGACAGAACCTTAAACACGAACACAAACAGATCCACAATCTGCAATTCCTAAGTCCAAAAAAAATCCAATCTTTTTCTGAAAGATTACAGCAATCTCATTTTAGTGGCAAATCCCTGCCTGATCTGACATAAGACTATTATAGTACTTATTGATCCCACTTGGTGTGAATATTTATATGTTTAGCTGCAGAAATGTTAATGTATTTGATTTCAAGATGCTACCCCAGAATTTGCTGAGGGTGTTAGATAAATGTATAGATACCATACTACATTTCTAAAATACAGTTGTAAAAATCCTGCATTCCAAAACGCAACTGGCTCCAAGTGTTTTCCATAAGGTATTATGGAACTGTAGTTTCGGGTCATAATCAATGGGTAGCCTATATAATTCAATACATCTACCACAGTGGAAGACTTTTTTTTTTTTTTTTTTGATGGATGTATTGTAACAAAAGAAGGAATAACCCAGTGTGGGTGTGAACTGCCCCTGGAGCTTTGCTGGAACTACCTGGGCTCTGCCTCCTTTTCCTCTGATCTCAGGACAGGAGGGTTACAAGCTGTGTGTGCTTTTCCAAAGTGATGGTGACCACTCGGGGCACAGCCTGTGATGGATCCAGCGGGCAGTGAGACCCTCACCAAGGGAGGCCCAAGCCTTATCCAACTTGTAAGCCTCCTTCCTGGTGAATTAAAAGATAATAAAAATCCTACAACAGAGACATAACTAGATTTTAAAATGTTTGTGCTAAATAAATTCACCTTTTAAAATATTTATAATTTAAATTAGAATGATTATAATTGCATTACTATAGCCATTAAGTAGAACGCATCACTTCACGCATGTGGAATATCTATTCCCAATGCACTGAAGTCAGGATAGTTTAGTAATGGGGGCCGAAGCTTACAGTTGGGAGAGGAGTGTGTTGGTCTCTCAATCCTCTGTGTATGCCTCTGTGCCTGTGTGTGTAAAACCTTAAAGGATGTGACATCAAAAGTCTATGTTTGGGGGATGTACAGTCTGCCCCTGGCCCTGCTAGAGGACCCCTGTACCCCTTGTGTGACCCCAGGGAAGAGGAAGGGGGGTGAGCCCTGGCTCCCAGACATGCACTGACAGTCACCATGGCTGCTGAGGCGACCGGTAATCAAGTCCTGCCTAGATGCAGCAAGGCAAAAGGAGCAAGAGTGTTCCAAAGTTTCCGTTTTAGCAGCTCAAACTGTCACATCGTTGATGTTCTTCACTGAAGGTTTGGCTAATAAGTTCAGGCAGAGAATGAAGATGGCAGAGCATTAGACGGGCTAAGTTTAGCATCAAAAATCTGTGGGAAGGATGCTGACTCCAGCAGCTGAAGGCATTCTGCTTAATTAAAATCAATTCTTTTAACCCCTTTTGTGCTCTCCTCTCCTGCTGCAGCAAGTGAATATTCCGTAGCTAATGTATCTCGTTCCATAGACTGACGTGGTTGTCTCTGTGTTTCCGAAGGAAATTTCAAGGCAGGATTTGTAGTAACAAAAACAAAACAAACCTCCCTATATCCCACCACCGCCAAGGAACAGATGCATCCAGCACAACATAGACTCTCCATGGGAGAACATGCAGCTATTTAAAAACTGTGAGTGCCAGAACAGGGTAGCAATACGAGGATGCTTAGGTATGGTGTCAAAGGGAGGCCCAAGATTACATCATTTCCACGTGATCAGCAGTACCAAACAACATCTATTTTCTCTCCTTTTCTTTTCTTTCTTTTCTTTCTCTTGTTCATTTTCTTTTTCCTTCCTCCCTCCCTCCTTCCCTCTTTCTCTTCCTTCTTTCCTTCCTTCTTCCTACCTTCCTTCCTTCCCTCCTTCTTTCCTTCCATCACTTTCTTTTCTTTCATTTCTTCCTATTTTTTTCTTTTTTTTTTTTTTTTTTTTTTGAGTTGGAGTCTCTGTCACCCAGACTGGAGTGCAGTGGCCGCTCCCGGCCACCGCAACCTCGACCTGCTGGGCTCCGGCGATCCTTCCGCCTCAGCCTTCCGAGTAGCCGGAATTACAGGCATGCGCTACCACGCCCGGCTGATTTTTTGATTTATTGTAGAGATGAGGTCTCGCTGCCCAGGCGGGTCTCGAACCCACGGGCTCAGGCAATCCACTCGCCTCAGCCTCCCAAAGGCGCGGGATTACGGGCTGAGCCACCGAGACCGGTTTAAATTTTTTTTAAGAAAGAAAACTTTATTTAAAAGTAAATTAGAGAGAGAAAGAGAAAGAAGAGAGAAGATTCACCTCCCCAAGGTGGGAGAGGGGGACCAAAGCCAGGAAGCATGGCGACAGCCATGGCTCAAAGAGCACATGGCCACACCAGACTCTAGCAAGGCAATGGCCCTTCCTATCTTTTTTAGAATGAAGTAAATACATGGCAAGATTTAGTCCAGAATCAGTAAGAGATTCAAGCAAGGTTGTTTTGTTTGGGGATGGTGGGATCTACTAGTGGATTTCTCCTTCATTCCAATAATGTTGTTTGAGCAACCAAAACAAAACAACAACAACCAAAAACAAAACAATGTCAATAATGTTAGCTTGTATCTATTAGTCCTTCAGGACTGGTCATTAAACTTCAAGCTTACATGTTTGAGTTTTGGGGGGTTCTTTTGTGTGGTTTTTTTGTTTGTTTTTTGTTTTGGTTTTTGTGGGGTTCTGCTGTTGTGGCTGTTGTTTTGTTTGTTCTGCTGTTGTTTAACAATTCTTGAGGACTCCTGAGCCAGTCTGGTCCGGAGATACAGTCCACAAACGGAGCAGAAATTAGGCCTGAGAGCAGGGAGAGGTGAAACTGGCCCTAGAAGTATTTGCTCCCTCTGTGCTCACCCAACATTGAACTCCCACCGGCCTTTCATTTAAAACCAGACCAGCCCCTTGGCCTCCCAGGGAGCATTCACTTTCAGGGTCTTGTGATTTATTATAATGCTAACAATTGTTTTCATGCTAAGAGCATCCTAAATTATGCATGCACTGCCTATATTCGAAATGTCTTTTAAAAATGACCCCAGCTGAGGCTTTTATCGAGTCCAGAGCATCTCTGATTTTCGTACTAGGGGGATGTAGTGTGGGGCCTTTCTAGAGTTGGGGCAATGACTCTGCACTTCTTTGATATATACAGAGATAAGAGGCAGGGGAATGGTGGCCCAACTAATAAAGGGAGGTAAGAAAGCGGGGAGAGTTCTAATGACCTTTAGGCCCCAGCAGAGACCTAAAGAAGTCTCCTGAGATGCACAGTCACCTCTTTTTGCTGCTCTTGCCTGCTTACTCTTTGAATTTTAAACGTGTCCCTTGAGCAGGAAGGACCAGTGGCTGGTCTTGAGGGTCCAAATCCTCCTCTGAAATCTCACGAACTAAAATTTTTGCCTCCCTGTGCTACAGTTCTGGTGGCCACTGTGTATTCACCAAAATCCAGAAAACCTAAATTGGTTTTCTGCTCAACAATGCAGGATCTGAGTGACTTCTGAATGTTCTGTCAGGATATTTGTGATGATGGCCTATATTCTAGATCATTGCCTGCTACGGCACCATTTCACAGAGTGGATGGGAATTGGGAGGAAAGGCACCAGCGTGTGAAGTGGCTTCCTTAGGGCCTCAGGGTGGTTGACCACACCAGAGAGCAAAGCACCCCCTATCTGTCAGCCCTGAGAGACAATCAGACAGAAAACAGTATCGGCCCTGGTGAGGTGTTGCTGCTTCCTGTTAACACAGGCTTGATTAAGTGGCCCATCACCGTGACAAGTGCTAGAAAATCCAGTCATGGTCACTTGAGCAACAGAACTCCCAGTAAGTAGAAATGAGCATATTAACAGCGGCTATCTGCCTAGGGTTATATCAGTTCTGATGCTGGGCATACTTTGTGAAACTGTTAATTTGGCATTCACTGACCATTAATACGTTAATTTTTTGTGAAGAGGGAGAAGGAAGGTAAGAACAATGTCTTCCTGCAGTCATCTTCAACCAGCATTAGGCATTTCAGCTCCTGTCTCCTTTTTAGACAAAAATATCCTTCAGCTGTTAAAAACAACAAAAAACAAACAAACAAAACCCCTAGCCATGTCTCCACACCCTGACTTCTTAATCTCTTGTTTTAAGATCAGGTCAATCCTCTGCTTCAACCTTCTAGTGGTTTCTATCTACGTTAGCTTCCAATCCAAGCTCCTCACCAAGAAATCTCTAGAGATGTGGGCACTGGCCGCTTCTCCCGCCTCACGTGATCCCATCCTTCCCCTCACACCCCTCTGGCCACACTGGTCTTCTTTCTCAGGGTCAGTCCTGGTGGCCTCCTCAACCTGAAGCACACCCCCAACCGCTGGCTGCCTCTCACGACTTACCTCAGAAATGGCCGCCGCAGCAAGGCCTTCCCTGAGTCCCTCTTCCGCCCTGTTTATTTCCTTCACGGCTTTTATCACTATCACAAATCTTTGTTTATGTCTCCCCACAATAAAAAAGAACAAGGATTTTGCCTGCCTTATTCATTGTGGGTCTTTAGTACCTATAGGAGTGCCTGGTACAAAGAAATCCTCAACAAATGTCTGTGGAGTGAAATGGATGACTGTGTTGTATGTAAGAATGACACCAATGACCCCCACCACTAATGCATGCACTTGTGACTTTCAGCCTGGGAGATGGGTTGTGCTGATTTATCACTTTCTGTCCTCAGGATAAGCAATGGCCCGTGCTAGCTAAGAGAGTCCAGGCCAGGGTCCAGGCGCAGTATGAAAGAAAGGGACTGAAAAAACAGACCCTGCTCATATAGAGATCAAACCCAAGACACCTCCATCTAACCTACTAACAGGTCATGATGGGGAAAATCGGGGCTGCATTTTTAGAACACTTGTTTTCCTTAAATTTTGTATTTCTCACCAAAGCCAAATGGCCTTTAGCTTGCTTCCCTGACAGTGGAAACAAAATCAACAGGGAGATGACAAAACGAAGCTAGTTGCATGCAGAGCAGCGTTCACCTTGGCTGGGACAGGCTGCTGAGGTGTGCAGCGTACCTGTCATGAGAAACAGGAGCCCAGCCACGTGCTGGGTCAGGCTTTCCTCCCAGAAGAAGCTGACCATGGCCACGATGCAGCCGCACAGAAGGACGGCCACGGCCATGCCCAGGAAGCCAGCAGTGATTCTTCTTAAATCTAATCTCAAAACAGAAACAGACATTCAAAATCAGAAGAGGAGGCAGAAAGTCATTGAAAATTAGAGAATGATGAGCTTTGTAGACATTGTGAAAAGTAATAAGTTACGTGGACAGACTTAGAGACTACAGGGTGAGGAGGTTTAGGGAATCCTCTTCCCAGGTATTCCATAGGAGTGTTACAACCCATAAGATGGGATGTGACCAATGGAAGGTCATAGTCCACCCTTTCTGAGTTCACGGGGAAGTCCATACCAAATGGAGAACAGACCAAAGGATACCACGGTACACCTGAGTAACACATGGCAAGCTACTTAGTAAACTGAGATTGAAGTAGGTTCTACAAATATCTTTGTTAGCCTTAAGAGAGCAATAGAAATGTAGGTTACCACCACCATAGTGGCTGTAATTAATCTGACTTCAGAGAAAGAGCCTAAAAAGTGAGCTGCAGTGAAATAGGGTTTTATCTGAGCACCACAGAGCCCAATTATGTATTCTACATTCATGTACTCCTGCCTATTTTCAAAAAGGTTTTGAGAAAGCAAGGGCAAGGGTGGTGACTGAAATAGTGGCTCAAAGTGCACTCAGGGGACATGTGCCAATAAATATACTCTCCTCTAAAAGATCTGCTCATAAACACCCTTGCCCCTAAAGCACAGGTCTCACACCCTGAGCACCATCTACCCAGGTTAGGAAAAGCTGTTCCCAGGAGATGAGTGTCACCAGAGTACACTCAACCGTTGAAAAAAACACAGCTGCGATCACCAAGCCAGGAATCCAGCTCTGTCTCACCTCCTTGGCAAAACAGAGATGGACAGACCACAGATACTGGACATACTTTGCCTCTAATTGCTGAAGCAGTTCTCTCCTTGACTATTTCCTGGCTATTTTACTTTTTCTTCCTATTTTTCTATTTCCTTCCTTCCTTTGCTTTTTTTTAAAAAACAAACCTAACGTTAAAAATTGCTAGTTAAATGTCTATGACCCTTCTTAGAACAATAGACCTCAAATATCCACCTGCCACCCAATGGGCCAGGCAACAGGTCTAAGTAAATGCATGGGGCTCACATACGCCTATGCTCACATGGAACCAAGATGAGGTGCACACTGCACTGTCTGAAGTGTGGGCTGCCCTGCTAAGGTGGGGGTGCCCAGGCAGCTGCCACTTGGTACGTTTATGTGGTTCCTGAATGGACACAGTAGCCTCCAGTCCCACTCCTAGCATCTTAGCCACACACAGACCAACTTTTTTAAAAAGAGGATTTCTCATTTCCAGCTCAGAGCATTTCTGCCTAGAAAAGGAAGTGTCGATATCACAGCAAGAGGCCAGGGGCAGTGATAATCTAAAGATGCTGAGTTTAATGTTAAGTGTATAAGTAGTTTTAAGACATTCACATCTGAGCAGGGGAAATATAATAATAGTTCAGTCACTATTATCTCACAACCTCCCAAATTCCCTGTGGTTTGAGTTGATAGTCTATTTTCTGTGACTATGAAAAGGCACAAGGTTCAGACATAATCCACATGGGATTTGCATTAGTACCAGTCATGTTAAGCTTATCCAGTAAGTGTGGTACAGATCACCAAATGTGACATTCTTAGACAGAGACATGCATGAGACTGCTAAAAGTATCTTTCCATGGAACCCCAAAAAGTATTAAAAGGAGGATACTTAAATATTGCCTTGCTGGGCTATTGCGAGGAATAAACTCTTAGTAAAGAGCTAAGTAAGGTTCTTTTTTCAGGATACTGTGGGGGTCTTTCCTCCCCTGATGCAAGTCAGTAACTATGTGACTCTCTGGACAGATAACTAAGACAACGAACTCCAAACTCACTCATAAAGAATTAAGACATAAAAACACTTAGCTAGGACTCTAACTTGGATCTGCTGAGAAATGACTGTTAAAATCTGCTAGCAAGAAGGAACTTTCGGGAAGTCACTCTATTTAGAATTAAACCACATCTTATCCAATGGCTTTTCGAGTCCCAAGTGGCAATATCATAAGAGCTTCCATGTATGTGTTTGGGATTCAAAACAGAGACTTTTAATCTGCAGAGGGATTTACTCACAGATGATATTCTGCTTAGTTTACTATAGTTGCTTTGGTCCCCAAACAAGATCCTGAAGCCCTTGCTGCTTATTTCATTAGTAAATGACAATGTCAATCTCTGATGAGGGTAAACACTGTAGTTTTTGCTTTCATGAGCTATCTATTCACCAGGCAGCTTGAATCAACAGTTATCAGGTAAATATCAGCCCTCTTTAGGTTTACGTTGCATGATTCTTTTTAAAGTTTCACATTTTCCTGACAGTGAAAAAGAGTAGCTCCTTCCATTGAGATGCAGACACCCTCTGAGAAAATTATGACATACGCTCATAAAAATATTTTAGCAGAAATACTAAGGTCTGAGATAAACACAGTCGCTAAAATAAATATTGTATCAATGAAACAAAACTAAGAGCTCCTAAGGTATAATCTCCTTGGTTTGCTAAGACAAGGGATGAGTAGGTCCTTATATCCAAAAACTCGGTAAAGAAAAGATTCGGTAGGTTGCTGTGTATAGATACCACCAGGGCAGACTAGCTCACAAAGCTTCATACCTGGTTTCACACTCTTCATTTGTAAACAAGATGTGTCCTCAGCATAGTGAAATTATCCTGAGTCTCTGACCACGTCTGATTGGGTCCAGGGGCTCACAAAGAATAAACACATCTTTCGGTCCACATCTGAGAGGGGTGGTGGGGATACTTTGTGTTCAGAAAGACATTTCCTCTCTGAACCTGTCCCAGAAATACTTACGAAGCAGGTGCCACTCATCTTGCTGTATAGTCTTGGTTAAATTGAAAGGAATGTTTCGTAAGCGGATTGGCTGAGAAAAGTGGTACTTGATGGCCGTGCATCGCTGTGCAATACCTTGAAGGAAAGAAATAAGAAATGCGATTTACGAGTCTGCTCATTTGTAATAGGATTCTGGAGACCTGAGGCAGAATAATGTATCCTAAACTATGTTGAACGGGACAGGGGATGGGAATCCCTTGATTACTTTCATTAACAAAGGCAAGTCAGAGCAGTACAAACCTAAAACATGAAATAATGTTTGAAATTGTGTTTCATTTTTCTTTTTTTCTTTTTTTTTCTTTTGAGTTGGAGTCTCACTCTGTCGTCCAGACTGGAGTGCAGTGGCCGCTTCCGGCCACTGCAGCCTCAACCTGCTGGGCTCCGGCGATCCATCTGGCTCAACCTTCCAAGTAGCTGGAACTACAGGTGCATGCTACCATGCCCGGCTAATTTTTTTGATTTTTATTGTAGAGATGAGGTCTTGCCAAGTTGCCCAGGTGGGGCTCGAATCCCTGGGCTCAGGCAATTCACTCACCTCCTCCCAAGGCACGGGATTACAGGCTGAGCCACAGAGCCCAGTCTCATTTTTCAATGTAGTAAATTTTATGAAGATCTATACTCCCCTAATTGTTTTTCAATACTGAGTTTATTTTACCTAAACACAAAGCTCTTTAAGGAGAAATGGCCTAAAAGTACACAGATGGTTGGCAAAAATCAGCTTAGAATTTTAAATTAACATAGATAAATTACCTGTCTGAATTTGACCCAGTCTCAAACTCTCAAATGGGCAGCCTCAAATGGGCAGCCTCAAAAAGTTCATTAGGAAGTGTGTTATGAAGACATTTCTCCATAAAGACAACGTGTGCATGGTTTAGGTGGTGATTATCTTCAGACAACCCACAAAAGCCTATTTAACCCTAGGGCAACTATTAATACAATTTTACTGAACTGAATTCTGGATCTTGAGGGGGAAAAAAAAGGGTGATATTGAAAGTGGAAAGGAGAAAGAAAAAAATTTTTCTCCCCTTATCTGGTTGTGTAGCCAGCCTTAGGCACAATATTTTGATATGGGCAAGTATACCAATAATTTATCCTCTCTCTCTCCTCACACACCACCTCCCATTCTTTATTGCATAAATTAACACTGTTCTTCTCGTTTCTTAAAGACTTCTGAATCCCATGAGAAGTGCCTATCCTCTCTTAAAATTAAAAAAAAAATACACAATTTTCTTTCTTCATTGTAAATCATCTTAGCCAGCTATTTGGATAAATGCAATCTGATTAAACTAATTTTAAAAAAAAGTGTGAGTAAACATTAGTCCTTTAACCCTGACAGATGTTTAAAAAAATCCTCATAAATGCAAATAAATCTCTAATTAGTGGACTTTGAGTAAGTATAAAAGTAGAGTGATGGGCAACCCCTTTGGGTCCCTTCCCACTGTGGGAGCTTTTTTGTCCTCTCAATAAATCCTGCTTTCTAAAAAATAAAAAATGACATTTTTAAAAAATCAGACAGTGAAGAGAGATTAGTATTTCAGCACAGTTTGCGTCATGAACCAGTCAGTACCTCCTGTGAATGTGAATGCACCTGCAGAATCATCATCTCTAGGGAATTTCTCAGATAGTTGTGCACATAAGAATCACCTAGAAGGGTTGTCAAAAAGGTAAATCCCTAGACCCAACCCTAAATATTTTGAATCAAAAGTTTTGAGATGGAGCCGGGCTCGGTGGCTCAGCCTATAATCCCGCGCCTTTGGGAGGCTGAGGTGAGCGGATTGCCTGAGCCCGCGGGTTCGAGACCCGCCTGGGCAGCAAGACCTCATCTCTACAATAAATCAAAAAATCAGCCGGGCATGGTAGCGCATGCCTGTAATTCCGGCTACTCGGAAGGCTAAGGCGGAAGGATCGCCGGAGCCCAGCAGGTCAAGGCTGCAGTGGCCGGGAGCGGCCACTGCACTCCAGTCTGGGCGACAGAGTGAGACTCCAACTCAAAAAAAAAAAAAAGTTTTGAGATGGAACCAAGAACCTGAATTTTGACAAACATCCTGAGTAATTTTGATTTAGGTAGTCCTTAAATCTCACTTTGAGAAACACTGCCCAAACTACCTCTGATTTTTTGAAGTATTGTTTTGTTTTATGAAATTGTATATTCTCTCAAAGCTCAAAGTTCTTTGATTTTTCTCTTTGTTTTTTTTCAGGCCCCTTGGTACCAGTTGTGAGGTCTAAGGCATATAAGTTAGCTATTTACATATAAACTAGGTGGTTTATAAGTCAGGAGATGCCTGTGCTTGCAAAAGGGCAAATAATCTGATATGAGAACAATGACAGATAAAGGACTGCAAATGTAGTGATAGCTGACATGTGTATTTTTCAAAACTAACACTCCATTTTAATACTCATGCCCTGGCTGACCTCAAGGCTCTGTGTAAGCAGGAAGTGAAAGCTACAGCAGAGTTGACGGCATACCCTAACATGCACATAGAGCCCATTGGCAAAGACTGGAAGACTACTGGTTTCAGGAAGTTAAGCACATTTCTGCCTAATTATTAGTCTACTACAAAGTTAGCCAAGTGGAGATTTCAAGGGCCTCATATAACAAAGAATACAGACTTTACAGAATTCATTCAGGAAATTCACTAAAGAAACAAGCAGCAACAATAAAAATAATCACAAACCCTAAGGAAAGGGAAAAATCTAGTTTCAGAGTTGCCACATCATTTTATTTTAAATGCCCAGTTTTCAACAAAAAGTACAAGAAAAAGTAAAAGAAGCAAGGGAGGGGGAAAGCAGTCAATAGGAACTATTACTGGAGAAGTCCAGAGATTGGACTTACCTGACAAGGACTTTAAGTCAGCTGTTTTAGAAATGTTCAAAGAACTAAAGGGAATCATATCAAGAGATCTAAAGGGAAGTAGGAGAGTGGCATATCATCAAATAGAAAATATCAGTAAAGTAAGAGAAATATTAAAAAGAAAAGAAAAACCAAATAGGAATTCTAGAGTTGAAAAGAAAAGTAATCAAAAAGAAAAATTCTCTAGAGAGGCTCAAAAGAAGGGTTGAGCAGGCAGAAAAAAAAAAAATCAACAAACTTGAAGATAAATCCACTGAGATTATCCAGCCTGAGAAAAACAAAAAGAGAATGATGAAAAATGAACAAAGCCTCAAAGACCTGTGAGGCACCATCAGACGTAGCAAAATGAGACTTCCAGAAAGGAGCAGAGAGAGAGAGAAGGAGAGAGAGGAGAGGATAAAAAAAGAATACTTGAAGAAAGAATTGCTGAAACTTCCCAAGTTTGATGAAAAACATAAATCTGCATATCTAAGAAGTTCAAGGAACTATAAATATGATAAACTCAAAGAGACACCTAGACATATCATAATCAAACTGTTGAAAGCCAAAGTCATAGAAAGAATCTTGAAAGCAGCAAAAAAAAAAGCAACTTATACAAGAAATCTTCAAAAGATTAGCAGCTGCTTTCTCATCAGAAACCATGGAAGCCAGAAGGGAGTGGGATGACAAATTCAAAGTGCAGAAAGAAAAATATTGTCAACCAAGAATTCTTTTGTTGTTGTTGTTGTTGTTGGTTTTTGTTTTTTTGGGTTTTTTTGAGTTGGAGTCTCACTCTGTTGCCCAGACTGGAGTGCAGTGACCGCTCCTGGCCACCGCAGCCTCGACCTGCTGGGCTCTGGCGATCCTTCCACCTCAGCCTTCCGAGTAGCCGGAATTACAGGCACGCACTACCATGCCCGGCTGATTTTTTGATTTATTGTAGAGATGATGTCTCGCCTGCCCAGGCGGGTCTCGAACCTGCGGGCTCAGGCAATCCACTCACCTCAGCCTCCCAAAGGCGCGGGATTACAGGCTGAGCCACCGAGCCCGGCTTAACCAAGAATTCTACATGCACCAATCATCCTTCAGAAATAAAGGAAAAATTAAGCTATTATCTTAAAAACAAAACTGAGAGAAACTGTCGCTACCAGACCTGCCCTATGAGAAACACTAAAGGAAGTAGTCCTTCAGACTGAAATGGAAGAATAGTAGATGAATCCAATGGAAAAAATAAAGAGCACATATAAGGTCATGACATAGGCAAACATAAGAGGCAGTTCAAATAGGTGTTTTTGTTTGTAACTCTTTTTTCCATCCTATCTGATTTTAAAGGCATAAAGCAATAATTACAAATCTCCATTGATGAACATACAATGTGTAGAGATGTAATTTATCTTACAATAGCAGTACAAAGGAGGAGAGAGGAATTGGAGCTACGCAGAAGCAGAGTTTGTATATACAATTGAAATTCAGTTAATATCAATCCAAACTAGATGGCTATAAACTAAAGTGTCAATTGTAATCTACAGAGCAACCACTAAAATAATAGCACCAACAAAAATTATATAGTAATTGAAACACAATAAGAATTAAAAAGCTACACCAGAAAACATCTATTTAACACACGAGAAGATGTTAATAGAGGTACAGTGGTACAAAAAAATATGGTGTATAGCCAACGAAAAAGCAAAATGGCAGATGTAAATTCTGCCTCATCAGAAATTATATTAAATATAAATAGATTATATACTCCAACAGGAAGAGGTTGGCATTGCAGATAAAACAACATGATCCAATTGTATGATGTCCACAAGAGACACACTTTAGATTCAAAGACACAAATAGAATGAAATTAAAAGGATGAAAATGGCTTTAAAGATGGGGTAGTGGGAAGGGATAGAAAAAGATATACCATGAAAAACAGTAACCAAAAAGGAGATGGAATTGGCTATGCTAACATCAGACAAAACAGATTTTAAGTCAAAAATTATTACTAGAGACAAGGATACATATATTATAATGAGAAATATATATTAAGAAAATATAACAATTATAAGCATATACACACCTACCGACAGAGTCCAAAAATACATGAAGATACAGCAAAAACTTACATAATTGAAGGTAGAAATAGACAAATCAACAATAATAGTTGGAAGTGTCAATATTCCACTTACGATAAAGAATCAAGCCAGGCTCAGTGGCTCAGCCTGTAATCCCGTGCCTTTGGGAGGCTGAGGTGAGTGGATTGCCTGAGCCTGCGGGTTTGAGACCCGCCTGGGAAGCGAGACCTCATCTCTACAATAAATCAAAAAATCAGCCGGGCATGGTAGCGCATGCCTGTAATTCCGGCTACTTGGAAGGCTGAGGCGGAAGGATCGCCGGAGCCCAGCAGGTCGAGGCTGCGGTGGCTAGGAGCGGCCACTGCACTCCAGTATGGGCGATCACGTGAGACTCCAACTCAAAAAAAAAAAAAAAAATCGTAAAACAATCAGACAGAAGAGCAACAAGATGATATGAACAACAGTATGAACCAACTAGACTCAAGAGACATTTGCAGAACACTTCACCCAACAACAGCCTAATACACTCTTCTCACATGACATAGAACATCCTCCAGAACGATATGTTAGGCAGTAAAACAAATCTCAATTAATTTAAACACATTACAAGTTATTCAAAGTAAGTTCTCTCACCACAATGCAATACAATTAGAAATCAATAAAAAGAAAATCTGGGAAGCTCACAAATTCATGACATTAAGTAGCACCCTGTTAAATAACCAATGGGTCAAGGAAGAAATCACAAGAGTAAATTAGAAAACACTTTTAGAACACTTTGAGATTAATGAAAACAGAAACAGAATCACAGCATACCAAAGTTTATGGTTTGCAGCTAAAGCAATGCTCACAGAGAAATTTATGACTGTTAATGCCTACATTAAAAAAAGATTCAAAAGTAGTAAACTAACTTTCCACTTCACAAAATTAGAAAAAGAAGAGTACATTAAGCCCAGAGTAGAAGGGGAAAGATTATAAAAGTAGAGTGAAAACAAATGAAATAGAGAATAGAAAAATAGAGAAAATAAACAAAAATAAAAACTGCTTATTTGAAAAGATTAACAAAATGATAGATCTTTAGCTAGACTTTCCAAGATGAGAAGATTGAAGATTCAAGTTACTAAAATCAGGAACGAAACAGAAACTATTACTAACAATCTTAGAGAAATAAAAAGGAGTATAAAAGAATACTGTGAAAAATTTTATGCCAACAAATTAGGCAATACAGATAAAATGGCAAATTCCTAGAAATGTACAAAACCAAGAAGAAATAGAAAATCTGAATACATCGATAACAAGAAATTGAGTTAGCAATTAACTTAGTAAAAAACTTCCCACAAAGAAAAGTCCAGGACTGGATGGCCTCACAGATTAATTGTATTATATGTTTAAGAAGAATGAACAATCTTTAACGGACTTTTCATGACAAGGAAGGAAGGGAGGGAGGGAATGAGGGAACACTTTCTAACTCATTCTATGAGGACAGTATTACCCTGATACAAAAACCAAAGTCATCCCAATGAAAAGAAATTACATAACATTCCTTAGAATATATATTTTTAAAAATTCTCAACAAAATATTAGCAAACTGAATTCAGCAACATTGGAGAAGGGCTATACATCATGACCAAGTGGGATTTATCTCAGGATTGCAAGATTGGCTCAATATATGAAAACCAATCAATGCAATATACCATATCAACAGAATAAAGGACACAAACAATCTGATCATCCAAAGATGCAGAAAAAACATTTGACAAAATCCACTTGATACTCATCAGCACCCCTATATACCTATAATACCTATATAAAAGGTATTATTTGCTCCACTAAATAATCTGAAGAAAATCCGAAGTTCAGAGAAGTTAAGAAACTAGTTTGAGGTCACAGTGCAAGGCTGTAACCACCCCTTAACATAAATGTTGTTATCCAAACTTCGTACACTACTCATTCAGGAAAGTTAGAAATCCCTAGCCTTTTAGAATGCATCTTGATTCTGTGGGTTGTTTAAGCTGTAGTTACTACACATTCTGTCAGTTTGAAGTAAAAAACAATTTTTCCAGTTTAGTGCCAACATATGCTCTTTTGGAAACAAAGCAGATTCCTAATTGAGGGAGACTGGGTTGGCTACAAGGCTGACTCAGAGGCTTCATCCTACCTGCACCTCACAGAAGCTGCTGGAGGTGAGGTGTGATTGGGGAGAAGCTGTTCTCTCAGACTCAGAGGAGCTGGCCTTAGTGCAGCGTCTGTGCTAGGGAAATGTGTAGTCCCTTTTAAATCCCTGCAGACATTCCCAGAGCTCATCTCCTCCTCTGCCCCTCACTGGTAACGGGCAGGATCCCAGTGGGTATCAGGAAGGACGCGGCTGCTGGCCCAGGGCTCTCCTGCTTCTCCAGAGGGAGTCTGTGCACGTGCCAGGAATGAGGTAAGTCATGCACACATCACCAAAATGCTTGTCCTTCCTCATGGGACTCTCAGGCTAAATTTAAAGTACCAATAATTCCAAAATGAGAGGAGAAAGGAGGTAGGGAGAGGGACGAGGTCTGGATGGGCAGTAGTAAACAGTACTTAGGGATCCCAAAGATTGGGGGTCTGGTGGTGAGCCCAGAGCTCCTTAGTCAAGTTCACAAGAAAATGTTCTATGGCCCCAGTGCTCCACTCTCATGAAAGATGACTAGAGACTTCGGGCAGAATCAGAAGAGAATGTAGGAATGAAAGACAGAACAGTAGCAGTGTCAGAGACCTGCCATTAGCCAATTTATGTCCTTGTTCTTAAACACGTGTTCTACTGTCATAGCTGAAAGTCAAATAGATTCTAAGAGGAAAGCATGTTATTAAGGTTGGGCTCCCTACCTACAGCCTGCACATTAAACTGGCAAAATGAAACTTGACAAAAACCTTACAAGAGAAGATCTGTAGTTGCTTGATGCCTTGAGGTAGACAAATTAGTTCCTTTTGATAAAAACTCAAGCATGCATATCTGCATGGGTGGTGGTCAGGACAGGAGTTCCATGCAACGTTGTGTTAAGGAATGATACTGTGACAATCCACAAGGAGGCATTAGATTCCAATTTTTTCAAAGCCATACATGCGAACTTGGAAATGAACTGGCTTTCTGGGTTTAGAGAGCAATGAATCTGGCACTCGGAAAAGGAACACAAAAAGCATGAGCTCATAGCACCAGATGGCATCACACAATGGGGGGGGAGAAACATGCAGAGGATTGAAAAGAACAAGTTGTGGTCTATAATTAGTGATTAGTTAGCTTCTTAAAGGGCAGGGGGAGCCACTTTAATAATGATAGAAACCACAGAAAGATATATAGATACGTTGCAAGGGGGTTAGGAATGGCGCTTTTGGTCTGGCGAATACTGTATCCAATGCTGAGTTCCAAGCTAAGTCGTAGAAACCCACGCTCAAGGTTAAATGAGGGAGAAACGTGAGAAGCAGTGAAAGATGTGATCACACGTCATAATTATCCATCCGTGATGAGGCAGTATACATGACAATGACAGGCCTTGCAGTCAGGCAGACCTGGGTTTGAATCCCAGCTGTGTGACTCGAGGCAAAATTAGTTTAACCTCTCTGAGCCTTAGTTTCCTCATCTGCAGAAGAGAGGGTATAATGGCAGATCGCTCATGGAGTGACAGTGAGCACTGGAAGAGGTCACTCAGGACTTGGCATAGAATGTGGCCCGCTGTAAGCACTCCGTAAATGTCAGCATTGGAGTGTGCACCATCTCTTGGTAACTGCCCAATTCACCACGTAGAACCACCGCGACACACCAGGGGTCTACGCCTTAAATGGGCATCACAGGTGAACCCAAGTGCACAGAGGGGCAGACAGACATATGCAACAACTGCCAGAACAAGTCCTGACCATCGGCTCTGATGCTTCCTCTCCACTCGCGCCACCTCTGTGCCAAACTCTACCACCTCACTCCTGAAGAATCTGCTAACTGACCTCCTTGCTCAAGCCTCAGGCCACCCCGAATGCCGCTGCCAGATAAATTTGCTGTGTGAAGTTTTGGGGCCTCTGAAGCCTCAATTGAACCATCAGTCAAATAAAATATGGAAACCTTTAAGATTTTTTTACATCTACCTGCCTTTTACAGTATCACTAACTTAATATGTTGCTGTGAATTGATTACTGTAAGTGAGAAATTGTTTCATTTGCCGAGATATAATTATGTATTTATTTTTAAATTAGATATTTACTTAAAAACAAAGTGCCTGGCACATATAAGTACTATATAATTATTTATTAAGAAGCGTTGATGCCTCGCCAAGGTACCAGCTTTCACACTGACAAACAGAAGATGAGAAACTCTCTCTCAGCCCCTCAGAACATAAGACTGGAGATTTTATTATCTGGTTCTGTTATGCCCCTGTCCAAGGACATACAATTGGCTTCCCCCTGAATCAAATCTAGACTCCAGACCCATCCCCATCTCACTTACACTTACCTGTGACCGGTCCTCAGGGACTATCTCCCACCCCCACCAGAAGTGTCCCCTGGTAAGGTCAAGCGCCCATTTCTGTGGCCTTCAGAGCCAATAGACCACATCTTAAAATAAGCCCAGGCTGGGCTTGGTGGCTTAGCCTGTAATTCCAGCACTTTGGGAGGCCAAGGCGAGTGGATTGCCTGAGTCTGAGGGTTCGAGACCAGCCCGAGCAAATTGGCGAGATCTCGCCTCTACAATAAATAAATAAATAAAAATTAGCCAGGCATGGTAGCATGTACCTGTAGTTCTGGCTACTTGGAAGGTTGAGGCAGAAGTATCGTGGGAGCCCAGCAGGTTGACGCTGGGGTGACCATGAGTGTGTGCCGCTGCACTCCAGCCTAGGCGACGGAGTGAGACTCCAACTCAAAAAAACAAACCCAAACCTACTAAGCCCTTTAAGCTCACCACCCTCAAAAAGCCTTTCCCAATCACTGCAGACCACATAGTTCACTCTGGTTTTATGATGTAGTTAGAGGCCAAGCCTCACAATCTGGCCCTTGAAGACTCAGTCTTTGTCATTTCCCAATAGATTAGAAAGTCTACCTCCCTATCAATGTCCCATGCTCCTTAAGAGGCTATGACTTCTCTCTGGAAATAGAATGTTTAAGAGGCATGTCCGAAAACAGTCGATGACAACAGCAGTGTAATGGATGCTGGAGATTCTCTAGCAGGGTCAGTGACAGTCTACGCTGTTTCCTAAAACACTTCCAAGGCAACTTGGAATTTCACAGCCAGTCCATAGGCAGAAAAATAAAGAACTATTTTCCCATCACATATCCCTGTTTGAAAGGAAAGATCAAGCATGGGGTCACAGGACAGGTAAGAGCCATGTTCTTGTCAAAGAGATTTAATTACAGAGAAATTTAGTTTCAGGTGCTAAGCAGTCAAAAGGAAATGTTTTCCTTATCACCTCTGGTATTGGGTATGAACACCCCTCACTTAAATAAATAAACCAAGTACAGTAAGTTTAGTGACAACACTGATTTTTAAACCCGTCATCAAGTCTGCAGAATTGAAAGGAGATGGATAAAAATTAAGCAACTTAAGCACTGCCCAATAAAAATATAATGCAAGTCATACAGAATTTTAAAATTTCCAATAGTCACATTAAAAAATAAATAGATGGGCTTAAACTGTAATTTTTTTCTTTTCTTTTCTTTTTTTTTTTTTTGAGTTGGCATCTCACTCTGTCGCCCAGGCTGGAGCGCAGTGGCACACTCACAGCCACTCCAGCGTCGACCTGCTGGGCTCCAGCAATCCTTCCACCTCAGCCTTCCAAAACTGTAATATTTTTAAATGTAACATGCAACCAATAGTTTGAAAATAGTTAATGAGATATTTTACAAATTGTTTTCAGGCTAAGTCTTCAAAGTCTGAATCTGATGATTTTCACTTACAGCACATTCAGAGAAGCCCCATTTCAAGTGCTGAGTAGTCTCATGCCCTGGAAAGCGGAGAATCCTAGGTAAGACAAATAAGATTCCAATGCAAGTAAAAACAACTGAGAGCAAGAACGTTCGATACTGGAAGTGCCTGAAGAGTGTGAGGATTCTTCTTTGTTTAGATCCTCTCTTCACAACAGACTATATCTTGTTCTGTCATAATTCCTTCGTGCTGTTCATGGAGAATTAACTTCTTGTTAGTTATGGAATTCTATCTGTGTCCACTCTATCTATCTCACACCTTGTTCCCCTAGCCATTGTCTCATGTGAAACTGAAGGCGGCCATCAGCTCAGCGTGTTCTCAACTAGAATGCACTGTGGTCTTTTCTTTTCCGCAGGGGATACCATGTTACAAAACAGGCTGACATTCACTACTGGTTACTTTCGCTCTGGTCACAACATACTGACCTCAGAGAGATGGATACAGTCAGAACAAAAGCTGTCTTCACAGCACGTGTCTAGAGCTGCTGTTCATACACACCTGAACTTAAAATATCCTAAATTCCGAAGATCATTCAACAGTGTGGGAAGCACACCTAGGTTTTCTGTACTCTTCGGTACAACAGTTTCAATTAGTCTGAATATCAATAAATATAATTCATTTAAATTATAAGTTTAAGTCTGTGTGCTCCCAAATACTGGGAAAAATTGTTTTTTAGGGGAAATGTGTATTTTTCTACACTTAATATGTGTGTATAATAAGCATCATGAGGAAGTATAGACTAGACTATTGGCTTTCAAACCAGTTGTGTGACTTCGAGTAATAAACGCAACCACTCTGACCCTGTATTTCCTCATTTGTAAATAGGTGGTCAAACAATCTCACAAGCTCACAGAATGGACATGGTGATCAAATGAGATGGTATATAAACTGTCCCATCACACTGTCTAACCCATAGATGATGCTTAATAAATGTTAATATCCATCCTTCCCCTTTATAAGCAAGACCAGTAAAATTTGACATAGGGTCTGTAGTTCTTCAGGAATTACATCCTCATCTCCAGCATTTAAAGGAAATAAATGACCAAATATCAATCTGCCTTTTTTTCCCTCTAATTTTTCTTATGTGGTAAAATACAAATACCATAAAATTTACTATCTTTTTTTTTTTTTTTTAATGAGTCAGCATCTCTATTGCCTAGGCAGAAATGCAGTGGCACAATCACAGCTCACCACAGCCTTGACCTCCTGGGCTCAGGCAATCAATCCTTCTGCCTCAGCCTCCTGAGTAGCTGGAAATACAGGTGCACATTTCTACACCCAGCTAATTTTTTTTTTTTTTTTTTTTTGTAATATTGTGTAGAGACAAGGTCTCGCTATGTTGTCCAGGCTGGTCTCAAGCCCCTGGGCTCAAATGATCCTCCCACCTTGGCCTTCCAAAC